AGATGGAAGGGAGGGGTTGGGAAGCTGGGAAAAGTTAGGGCCCTCCGGTTGTTCTGTCCTACTGCCAACCCCAAATGTGGCTTGGAGATAGCAGGCCCACGTGCAGTGGTGCACAGTACACACAGACATACAAACAAACAAACCCACACCAGTGGAGAAATACAAGTAGGAGAAGGTGATTGCATGAATACAGTATTGGTACAAACCAGAAAATAGAGGACAAAGAAATTCTGAGCAGAGAAACAGAGACATAGATTCTAGATAAGGACATAAAAAAGAAGTCATTTCTTAGAAGAGAAATAATAATCCACATGATAGCCAATGACTTGGAAAGAGAAAAAAAAAGTATGTATACGATCATTATAAAACAAACCGCTTTGTTTCAACATCACTCTGAGTTTTCTGGAGCCAAACTGCCTCCTTTTACACAGAATACTGGGCAGTTGCAGAGTGTTGTCAAGTCAACACGGTTTCTCTCCTTGAGTTTCCTTTATCTGTATGCTCTACTCTCATTGGCAATGTAGAATGAAGGACCTTGAGGCCCCGTGTGCAGGTTTGGGCCAATTATAAGGATTCTCATCAGTACTGGGCTGCTTTTTAGCTGCAGGCACGAAGCACATAGACCAGCTGAGGGTCCTCGTAGGTCAACCCTGTATCCTTCACATCTCTACACAATGAGCATACCTGGGAGATACAGTGTGTACTCCTGCTGGTTGGCAGATCTAATAAACTCAAGAAGAAGAGATAAAAAAACAACAACACACCAGACTTCACTGCAAAAGATAAAACAGAGTGAAGCATCTAAAGTATGGAAAGTGTAGTAGTAGTAGTAGTATAACATACTTATACTACAGTATACCTTTAAAAACGTTTTGAGGCCATGTAGCATTAAAATGTTATTCTGTGAGAACTCACTTGTCTATTACATTTAGTTAATGTATTTAAATGAAGCCTACAGTTACTACAGCTCTCCTTCCAGCCTACTAGTAAAAATAAGAAATCCAATCTGATGCGTGGGTTAGTACATCTGCAGACAAGCTGTCAACGCATGCTATTACAAATGCACAATGTCACATTAGTCCCTGTATTCAGTACTATGTTAACAATAAATAGAGACTTAGCTTCGTGATTTGGTTTGTCTTATTTTCGAATGTTCAGATCTTCTTCAGTGATAAAAAAAATGCCTGGTCAGGTTAACAAATTAGCAGTCAGTGGGAGGTTTTGGTCCACAGTTTTCACATTATACTAAGACAGCTGTGATCAGTGCTAGTCAGCGTGTCCTGTCTTCAACCATATGAAGTTCTAGAAGAAACTAAATCGGTGTCCTTTTCGCAAAAGCTGCAGTTGCTGTACTCAGAAAGTGGATTGTGCTGGTGCTGTCGATTAGCATGAAGCAGCGCGTCTGTGTTTGACTGAAGGAAGGAGCGAGCGAGGAAGAGGCAGAGCGAGAGAGCAACATAGAAAGTATTTGTGCCTGTCTGTTTGTTGGCGCTCGAGGCTAGCGTGTGGTGAGGAGGGAGATTCACACCTCT